AGAAAAAAAACCATGTCTTTTCTTTTAAGGAGCTTGAAACATGAGCTGATCAGGTAAATCTAAACAAAGGAGTTGGTAAAATTGTTTTGGAGTGAAGAGGTGTTCTAATGTGCCTATATCAGTTACTTTATTTGCAAATCTTTCCTACTCCCCCCCCCCATAGGTTTGATCTTACTGTGATCTAAGGAAATTGTAGAAAAAATGCCCTTACTGGCCATAGGGCAATATTCTAACTTAGAATTTTGGAGGTAGAGAGGATCAAACAGGCAAGGAAAATAAATCCCAGAGAGGTTAAGTGGTTTCACCAAGGTCACCCAGCTAGTTAACAGGGAAGCAGTTCTAGAACCTATGTCCTACCTCTCAGTCTAGGACTGTTTCTGTTACACTAGTAGTATCAAAATCTAATAGAAATTCAGGTCACTAAACTGTACATAAGGATCCTTGTGGGCTGTATATTGACTTAGAAAACCATACATGTTTATATATTTCTTTTTTTTTGTGACTGCATCAGCCCATTAAAATCAGATGGGACCTACATTTTACTCTGGTTTGGACCACACTCAGGAATGTTAAGGGGCACGAGTGCTGCCTCTGAGAAGGACCTGGTGTGTATTAAGAGGACAATATAGGAAGTGAAAAATGTTATTTCATCTGACTTTTAAAACTTATTGAAACCACCCAAGATTGTGTTTTTGAATTAAATTTACTTTTTTGATTGACCACAAATCTCTTTTTTTCTTCTCACTCCTCTCTCTATTGAAAAAGAAAAATTTTATAAAAAATACGCCGTAGTCAAGCAAAACAAATTCACCGCCCAAGCATCTGAGGCCAGTGTGGTTTTGTGGATAAAGTGGAGATCTTGGAGTGAGGAAGACATGAGGTTGAATCTGGTCTCAGACACTTGCTAGCTGGAACCCTTCTGAGCCTCAATTTACTTATTTATAAAATGAGAAGGTTAGCTGCAATCTCTCAGGTTCCTTCCCTCTCTAAACCCATGAGATTGTGCCATATGAGGTTCATTTTTTTTTCCATAGGAGAACCATTTGAAGGAATCGAATTTGTTTAGCCAGAAGAGAAGACTTAGGAGGGAACATCGCAGCTGTCTTCAAGTGTGTAAAGGACTGTCATGTGAAAGAGGGGTTATATTTGTTCTCTATTGCTGGAAGTTGTAAAGAGACAGATTTCAGTTCAATATAATTGCAATGGAAGAATAGGGAAGGACTGGGCAACTAAGTGGCTCAGTGGACATAGCTCTAGGCCTGGAGTCAGGAAGACCTGAGTTCAAATTCAGCCTCAGACACTTACTATCTGTGTAACCCTGGGCAAGCCCCTTAATCCTGTTTGCCTCAGTTTCCTCATCTGTAAAATGAGTTGGAGAAGGCAATGGCAAACCACTTTAGTATCTCTGTCAAGAAAACTCCAAAAGAAGTCACAAAGAGTTGGACACAACTGAAAAAAATAACTAAACGATGGGGAAGGACTGACTAAATGAGCATGCTTCTTGATAGGTTATCTGGAGGATGTCCATCTATTCCCTGCCTGGTTCTAATCCAACAAATGGAACTTTGCAATCCTGTATGACCAAAAGATTGATAATGTGTGATGATCAAGACTCTCCTAATTGGCTGTGGAGATGGAAGAACCAATGACTAGATGGTGATAACTAACCTTGAATTCACACATGAAAGAGAGGATTTCTATTCTGCCAATAAGCTCAAATATAAATTAATTTCTTCTTATGCAGATTAAGGCAAGAACTACTTTGAGCTTCCAAGCGAAGGAAAGGCAGCTGCCCTATTTCCCACCTTTTTTGATGTGTTCACAAGCACATAGTACCTCTGTTTCTTCTGTGTGTATTGATCTTAAATTAATGAGTATTCTGAGAAAAGAGTGATTAGGCAACCATGTGAGTTTGGGAGATCAATCAGAGCTATTGAGGTCCCAATGACAACTGGAATCAGAAGCAATGACCTCTGGAATAGTAGTGGCCAATGACAGAAGAAACACCTGCTGACAGTCAACAAGCATTTTTAAAGTATTTGCTATGTTCCAGGCGCTGTCCTAAGTGTTGGAGATACAAAAGAAGTCCCCCCCCCAATGGCCCCTGTCCTCAAGGAGCTTACATTTTAATAGGGAAAAAACATACAAATAACTCTTTACATATGTGCTGCATACAGTGTAAATGAAGTGTAGTATGAGAACAAGTGGGAATAGGAAAGGCCTCCTGTAGAAGGTAAAATTTGAGCTGAGTCTTTTTTTTTTCTTTTGGCGAGGCAATTGGGGTTAAGTGACCTGCCCAGGTCACACAGCTAGTAAATGTTAGGTGTCTGGTCTGAAACTGTATTTGAACACTCAGTGGGATCTGGCTTGGGAACTCAAGTGCCTAGGTAAGGAGTGAGCCAAGAGAGATTGCTACGAAATTAAAAAAAACAAACAAAACCAACCAACTTTCTAACAATTCAAATTGTCCAACACCAGAAAAGAGATAATAACCTCCCGCTTATTAGAGGTCTTTAGGTCAAAGACTAGAGAACAATTTTTAAAAACAGTTTTTAAAGAGGATTCTTCTTCAACCATAGGTTGAAGTTGAAGTCTTTGAGGTCTTTTTGAATTCTGAGGTTCTGTGATTTTGTTTTAGCTTACTTGACCTGATTTACTTGACTATCTTACCATTCTATTTGATTCTACACTAGAATAGTTGATCTGTATTCTGCTAATAAGCTCAAATACAAATTAAAGTGTTTTTACATTAGGAATACTTTTCTTCCCTTTCAGACAGGTAGTAGAGAAAATAAGACTACTGTTAACCAACTCATTTGGCTTAAACCTATAAAAGTAATTTAGTTCTATGAAATCACTTTGGCTCTTCTGTCTTCACATACAAAGGGAGATCTTCAGTATCAAGTACAAATGATGATTGAATAACACAAGAGACTTTTTATTTTACATGGTCAAAATATATATCTGCAGTAATTTGTGAAAAAATGCAAATATATCAGTATTGAATGATGTTAGTTTGGAAGGACAGAGGCTAATTTTAGTTCCTGAAATGACAAAGCCATAACAAATTAGTAATTAGAACATCCATTATTTCCTTCCTGTTCTGTACTCATCCTGAGCTAGAAGTGTTATATATCTTTTTCTTATTTGCAGGAGAATAACTCATTTTGGTAAAATAGATGACAACACCAAAGTAGTGCCTTCAGGGGGCTTGGAGGAGAGATTCTGGAGTAAAATATTATTTTTTTGATGCAAAACATGTTTCCATATTAGCTATGTTAAAACAAAAGCAAGGAAAATAACGTAGGTGAAAAAGTATGCTTCAATCTGCACTCAGAGTTCATCACTTCTCACTCTGAAAATGGATAGCATTTTTCGTCATGAGTCCTTTGGAATTGTCTTGGATTGTTGTGTTGATTAGAGTAGCTAAGTCTTTCATGGCTAATCATTGTTACAATGTTGCTGTCACTGTGTATAATGTTCTGGTTTTGCTCACTTCACTTTGCATAAGTTCATATAAGTCTTCCCAGGTTTTCTGAAACTATCATTCTCCTAATTTCTTATAGCACAATAGTATTACATCAAAATGATATACCACATGTTCAGCTGTTCCCCAGTTGATGGACATCCTCTCAACTCCCAATTCTTTGCTACCATAAAAAGAACTGCTATAAATATTTTTGTACATACAGTTCTTTTTCCTTTTTCTTTGATATTTTTGGAACACAGAACTAGTAGTAATATTGCTGGGTCAAAGGGTAATGCACAGTTTTATAGCCCTTTCAATATAGTTCCAAATTTTCCTCCAGAATGAGTTGGACCAATTCACAGCTCCACCAACAATGCATTAGTCTATCTATTTTTCCACATCCCTCCCCTCCAGCATTTGTCATTTTCCTTTTCTGTCATATTAGTCAATTTTGTAGGTCCAAGGTTGGACTTGGAATAATATTATTGTACAATATATACAAATATTATAGAATATGTGTTAGTCAGTCAATCAACAAGCATCTTTTAAGTACCCACTATATATCAGGCACTGTGCTAGATGCTAGAGATACAAAGACAAAAGATGAAACAATCCCTGCTCTCAATATTCTTCATAGCAGTGATATCAAACTCAAATAGAAATGTGGGCCACTAAACTGGACATAAGGATTCTTGCAGGCCACTTTTTGATTTAGAAAACCACATATTACCATTATCTGTGTTTTAGGGCATTTTAATTTATTTTTGTTAAATATTTCCTGATTACATTTTAATCTGGTTCAGGTGGCGCTCCAGTCCTGCATTTGACACCACTGTTTTGCAGTATATGATATGTGATGTTATATAACAGAATCTAGAGTGCATACCAAGGAAGTTTTATTCTGAATAAGACAAGCCAAGTAAAAATAATTTATCCTTTAAAAAAAAGATTAGTTTGGCAAGGTTGGTTCTGAAGTCAGAAGAATCTTGTCCCAAGCCATATTTCTAGCTGGGCAGATCACATAAAGACTTTGCATTCTCAGGCAACTCTTTAAGATTATGTAAGTCTATTTGCACCTCAGAGGAAATCAGCAAACACTGCACAGCAGAACTTGATTTCTTGTTTTGTTATTGGTCTAGACTTAGGAAAGTGATGGAGGAAATGTTTATAATGAAGAGTAAGCTTAAAAGTGTGACTTTCATGCATTTTGTTTTCCTGGAGAACCAGCTAAATGTTTGCTAGCACACAGTACACCCTAGTGTGACTTTGGGCTAGTCACTTAACCTCTTTAGGCCTCAGTTTTCCCCTCTGTAAAAAGAGAGGAGGTTGGATTAGATGGGCTCCGAGGCACCTTGCAGCTCTAGAGAGATCTATGCTTTTGGCCTATTCACGTGTGATCAATTTAAAGAGCTCTGTGTGATGCCTCTTGGCGCCACCAGGAGGAGCTGCACGCGGAGGCCACGCCATCTCTCCACGTCCTTAGTGCCTTCTTCGCTCTAGCCACTCCCTTCCCCAAGTCGTGCCCGTCAGCTTCCGCCGGAAGTGGCGGTTGTTGACAGTGTTTCTTAGCTCATCGTTGAATTGGGCGCTTGGAGGTCCTTCAGCGGGGTAGCTGAGGCTCTCGGGACGGAGACCCCCCCCCCATCCTGGTGCGGCCGAGCCGAGCCTGCGGCTGGGAGATGGATATCCTCAAATCGGAGATCTCTCGGAAGCGGCAGCTGTTGGAGGACAAGAAGCTGCTGGGGGTGAGACGCGTTCGGGCTTGTGAGGGGGGAATGGGGGAGCAGGGTGGCCGGGGAAGAGCCCCGGCGACCTCCTTCCTCCCCTGGCTCTTCCCCTGAACGGCTTGCGTGGGAAGTGAGCGCAGGAATCCTAGGATCACCCACATCCCTCACAGGAGCAAAGCTTTCGAGCTGGAAGGTGCCTTAGAGGCCAGGTCCAACCTCATTTTACCAGTGAGGAAACTGAGGCTCAAAATAACAGTCATAATTATTATTATAAATAACATTCACATAGCGTTTTGGGGGCTTCTGGACTCCAAGGCCTGCGCTCCATTTGTTGGGTCACCTACCTGTCTTTGATTTGAAACATGCTAGTCCATTACAGAGACGTGACAGACTCAAGTTGGAAAGCAGCATTTGACTTTACAAATATTAATACAAAGAGTTTTTTCTTTTTTAATGGGGTACAGAGTGGGAGGGAGAGGAAAGAGTTTTCTGTTAATTTTTTGAAGAATAGAGTGGTTGGGTGTTACAGATGTGAAAAGTTGTATGTACTTTCAGAGGAGGTCACTATTACTTGTTTTACATAGCTGTTTTACATTGTTGCAAGTAACTACTCTCACGAGGAGGAAGTAATCTGTAAATATTTGTAACGTAATAGAATTTAAAAATTAGGTGGCGTTTTCTCGCCGCTACCATCCACTCCCTCTTCTCCTTGCAGTTTTGGGTCACAGGTGTACTTGGATGCTTCGTGAGCACCTGTTGTCTTATTAGAGCAGAATTAAAATACAAAGTAAAGACCCTAAAACGTATGTGTGGTTTTGGAGTTGAAGGATTCAACTACCTTTTACAGATAGGAGAGCCATCTTCGAAGGGCTATTATCTGCTTCACAGAGTTCTGAAGATCAAAGGAGATAACATCCGAAAAGTGCTTTCCAAACTTCAAAGTGCTATAAAAATACTTATTACTTGCCCCAACTGGTTAGTGCCAAGACCAGAGCTGGGTCTGTCAACTCCCAGCCCAATAAGTATGCTTTGTGTTTATAATGCTTTTGGGAACTGAGTGCTGATTGTGTATACTCTTAGGTGGGGTTGAGAGAAATCATCTTCTGATTAACGTATGTAGCCCAGGGTTCCAACTTCTTTCCCAAACTGAAAGAAAGAAAAAAAAAGTACCTGTATTTGTCTCTTTCATTTTTTCACCTCCCACTCAATTCTCAGTCCAATGAAATCTGACTCCATTCAACTTAAACTTTCTCGGAGTGTACCAAGGACCTCTTAATTGTTAAATCTGCTGGCTTTTTCTCAGCCTTCATCCTTAATGCAATGAAAAGAGCATGATTCTCCGTAAAAATCTTGTGAGTCGCAGCAAGTCACAACCTTCTGGGCTTCAGGTTTTCATCTTTAAAATGAGGGAATTGGGCTAGATGGTCCTTCCAGCCATTGATCTTTGATCTATTATCTGTCTGGAACAACCTGCTGCTTTAGACACTGTTGACCCTCCTTTCTTTCTGTATTATCTCACCTCCCTAGCCCTTTCATGTTTCCATTCAGATCACCCCCAGTCTGTCTGCCTGATCCCTCTTCTCTCTCTTTATACTTTTTTTTATTGATCTGATCACTCCCAACACATAAACCCATCAGTTCCCAAATGATGTCATCCACCTCCACAACTGCTTTCACAACTATCTCCTACTTCTCTTTACTCATGTGAGCACCTTTCTAGTTCAGACCTTTATCACCTTTCACCTGGACTATTGTAATAACATCCTTATTGGTCCTCTCTCCAATCCATCTTCCACACAGTTGCCAAAGTAATCTTTTTAAAACCAAGATTTGACCATGTCACTCTCAAAAGTTTGAGTGATTCTCTATTTATAACTTGAATAAAATGCAAACCACTTTATCAATTGGAGCCCTTTATATTTGGCTCTAGACTTGTTTCATATACTTCCTTCTGTAAGGACTGAAACTGTCTCTGTAGAGATAAAGACTAAATCTGTGATTTCATTTGGTTATAATGCAGAAACATTCTCTGCAGCTTTTGATCTTGGAGAGCATTTTCCAACTTTTAGCCAAACTCAATTACTTACATTTCACTAAACATAACCTTTCATCTTTTGCCTCTTTTCCTTTACCATGGTTTGTCTTGTATCCCTGGATTGCACTATCGTTTAGTGAATCTAAATCTTTTAGAATCCTTAGTAACCTTCAAGATTTCACTCAGGCACTGTTGCTGTAGAGAGGTAGAGACCCCTCAAGGACTGGAGTACAGGACAGGGTAGTCTGGAATGAATTCACAGACTCAAGCATTCTTTAAGTCAAGGTGGCAAAGTTTTATTGTTATGCTATACAGCAGGCAAGGATTCTCAAGGAACCTGCCATGGTGGGCAGAGCTTCTTAAGGAACTTGCAACCTAACAGGAATGATGCTAAAGCTTATATATGAAAAGTGGTGGATTATGTGCCAGGTATGCTAATTAGGTGATAACTTACAACTACATCATTCACTACAGGAAACCATGGAGAGGGAGGGGGAAGAGAGGGTTCCTAAAGGGTATATTTTTGGTCTGTCATGTCTGTAACAAGATAGTTTTAGGAGTTGACGTCTATAGCTTGACCTCTGGATTGTATATGTAACTGTGGGCATCAGTACTTGATAGTTCTGTTGGTACAAGATAGTCATGTTCATACAAGGGAAATTCTACAGAGGTCAGCTTCTTGTGACAGGGAGAGATAGTTTGCCTCACTGGGCCTGCTCATGAATGATTGCCAGAAACAGAGTCCTTGGGCTGGAGGGAAACTGTCAGGGATAGTGTTTCTGAGGCTAGGGAGAAATATGATCTTGGAAGTGGGGTCTGAGTACAAGCACCCAAGCACCCCATCAGCACCACTTCCTACTTGAAGCCCTTTCCCCCTAGTTGTTAATGTTCTCTTCCTCTTCAGATTGTCTTGTAATTATCCATCCACGTATATGTTGTATACCCCCAGTACAATAAATATAAGCACCTTGAGTACAGGGACTGTTTTTCTTTTTGCCTTTTATTACCACTTCCTCATATAGTGCTTTACGAATACTAGGCACTTGATAAATGCTTGTTGTTGAAAAAGGATCTTTTATGTTGGTTTCTCCTGATATAAAAGAAAAGTTTGTGTGCTCATCCCTTCTGGAAAGGCTAAGAATACTTTAGACAGCAGAGAAGAATAGAAAGAGTAATCTTGATATATCTTTTGGATAGAATACAAGATCACATTGCATAAAGTAATCAGGGAAGACTTTTTAATTGTTATTTGATATTTTTACAAGTAATTTAAAGAGAATTATGTCTCTAAAGTTTATAGATTCCCATTTCACTGGGATTGTCAGCATTTTGAAGGATAGTTTTACATTTCATAATGATTTTAGTTTACAAAAATTAGAAAAATGGCCTGACCCTAATAAATCAGTTTCTAAGTACAAATTTTTAGAAATTACAAATCAATAAATAAAAATGCACTCCACATATGGAAAATTGGAAAATACTGATAAGATGGAGAATATTGAAATTAAAGTTTTAAGTTAATGTCTTTCCCTTATCCTCCACTTCTACAAATAAAAATGTGGAGAATTTGGATTCTCAGGTATTGTCTATAAATGTGTACCAAGTAGTCTGTCTTTTCTTACTGTTTGTGAGCCTTTAATTGAATATTCTGTTGTTTTACAGAGGCCTATGCACATTTAGGAGAGAGTAGCATTGAGCACTAATTACCAAGTACCTCCTATGTGCTGAGTACTGTGCTAGGAGAGATACAAAGTCTAAATAATTTATTTAGCCTTTCTTGCCCTCATGGAACTAAGTTGAATTTCAGGATAAGACATAGATATAGGTAACTGTAATATAAAATATAATATGATAAGTATATTTGAGAATTGCAAAATAAAGTGCTACTTGAGGTCCAAGGGGCAAGACTGTTATGATAGGGCCGGTAGTGGAAGGTGACAGATATGAGGGGAGGCGTCCTATGGGGGCATTTCAGGTGGGTTTTCAAAGGTGAGTAGATATTCAGCAAGTATACAGGGGAAGGGAAAACATTAAGCACAGGGAGCTAACTGCCTTAGCAGAATGGTCTTAGGACAGTTTCAAGTGAAAGCTGGATGATCTCTTGTAGAAAAGATACATACAGTCACCTCAGGGGGGACAACAGAGTCTAATTTCAAGGTTCTGTGATTCTTTGACAGTATAGCATTTTTTTCTCCAACTTGGAGTCTTGACCTTTAAAGGTTCAAATGGAGAATTGGGATTACTTGATTCCTCAGGATTACTTTATTAGAATAGCTTACACTCAGCTGCTACATTTTACCCTTATCTTCTTTGCTTTGTCTCCTCTTACATTGATTAGTCAGCAAGTATATATTGAGCACCTGCTATGTGCCTACCCTTACATTAGGTTTTGAGGCTGAAGTTAGATTTGTGGAAACTCAAAGAATTTATATACTCGTTGGCAGAGCTAAATCATTCCCTTTTATTCCCCCCCCTTTGTGTGCCATGGACCCCTTTGACAGTCTGAAGCCTGTAGACCACTTTTCAGAATAATATATTTAAAGAAAAAAACACTAAGAACACTCTTTATTAAAAATATTCTAAATATGTTTTTACAGTCTGAAAAGGCATTGGTAGTGTATAACAGTGGCATGTAACAGGCACTTTAACATTTTCTGACTGATTTGTATTTCATTACATATCTCATTTCTTGAATACCTTAGGAAGAAAATGCTTAATTTATTTTTTGTCACTCCAAACTGCTGACTTTTCTCCACCTACCTGTAAAAAGCAAGGTTCTTAAAGGTGACATGTGAAAAGAACAAAAGAATTTCAGGTACATCCGTAAAAACAGTCAATATCATAGGATCACATATTGAGCAGGAAGGAATCTTTGAGGTCATCTAATTTAATTAATAGCATGAATAACATTTTAATGACATTCAGTTATTTCCATTCTAGCATATTTCTATAAGGGATCAACATGTGATAATTTTGAATTCTG